CACGGTGTACCGAAGGTAGGAAAACAGCATGCTTCAAATATCCGAGTGTCCAAAGATCATGCAGGTCCAAAATCGCCATAATTCTAAGACGTCTCCGCGTCTATAACTTTAAATATCAATCATAGTATCTCACTAATCCGCGCTCCGCTGTACCTTAAAATAGACTAGCTGGTCTCATCTCCTTGGGTCTCTCATGCATATAAGCTCAGAGTCGTAATTAATTTGAACGATATGTCCTGTCTCTCTTTCCGTGAGCAGCTACATGGTGGTGTTCTAGAAACGACCGACCTATAGGTGTCTATATATGATATGGCACTTAATTATGTCTCTGTTGCGTTTGTGTTGTCTGTGCTTCTGTCTATTTACCTTCTGCGTGTCTCATTTAGCCCGGGCCACGTCTCAAAATGTCCGATTAATGTCGTTCTTTTAACTCATGGCGTCTGTGCTGAATGTCCTTGTTAGTCCCGCCAAGGTGTCCACTGTTCGTTGTTCCGCCATGTCGTTTTCCGGCGTCTTGAAACAATCACTGTTCTTTCGTACTTCTTTCAATAATCACCTTCTTGCGTGCTGTTTCAATCACCTTTTCTCATGTCGTTATCTTTGTCTCAGTGTGTGTCCTTCTTCTTCTTGTTAGGTCTTTACACACATCGTTCTTCTCCGTGGCACATGAATACTCCACTCGGTTTATTGTGCAAAAGTCTTGGTTCGTTTTTCTCCATGGAATATGGAGGCCGGCGGAGGTTCTTCCTTCGAGAGTTCCCCTGTTAGCTGCTGCAGCCCGATGCTGGTGGCTTTGGTAGGTGGCCCCTGTGGGTCTGGAGAGGGAAGACTGGCAGGATGGTCACGTCGCTGACTTGGCGCACCTCCCCCCTTCCGATTGAGGTCTTTGTGTGGCAGACGATTGTTGGCCTCAAAATGGAGATCAGACAGAACGTTTTCTCCGGCAACAACAGACCAACACCCACAGCGCAAGCCACCACACACAAGCGTGTTTATTGTTACCACTCCGAAACCAATGATGAATTACAAAGTCAAAATACTATCCCTATGCAACAATCCCAGTTAATAGTAACCCTTTTCAACATTAACATCTGCAAAACCAATTCTGACATTTCAACGGCTATTCCTGCAGCGCTACTTTTGTCGCGGGACAAGTAGATACTGCTCTCTAATGCTCATTCTAACTGTGATCATCACCAAAAAATGTAGGAAAGGGACATACTGTGTGTGTTGCGTCGACACCATTGAAAAGATATCAAATTAAATGCCTCTTTTATACTCTAACTCTAAGTTTCTGTGAATCCTATGGGACTCCATGTCAGTTAAACATTATCGTGTGTATAAATGTTAATGTTTCTACAAAAAATGCTTCTTTCTTCACCGAGAGAGAGAGTAAGGACAGAGTCTACTCAGAAGAGCGTAGGAGCAGAGAGAGTAGAGGTGAGAGAGAGAGGAGGAGAGGGGAGAGAAGAGGACAGAACGAGGGGAGGGGTGGGGTCGACGCCGAGGCTTTGGATGCCTCAAGTCAGTTGTCAGAGAGGGAGCCAGATAATATAAAAATAAAAGTGGGAGAAGGACGGCTGGTGGGGTGTCCTCAAAACAGAGGAGTACATTACGGCGAAACTCCATCCAAAGTCTGAACATCCCCCTTAAAATTTGCTACACATATTACGAGGCGTTTATTAACGGGACAATGTTTTACTCACTGCGGTGAGAGTTCCTACACCAAACGACAACCGCTACCTTTATTTAAATACGCATCTCTCTCTTCTATTTTAAAAACAATGTGCAAAATTCTCTCTCTCTTCTATTTCCAAAATTTCCAAAACTGTGATCCGCTTACCTTATGAAGCGACCTTTTTGAAGAGCAGAGAGATTTTTCCAAACCCACAAATCCAGTCTCTATAACTGAGCTCATCTCTGTCCCGCTCCTGCCCCGATCACGTCGGGGTTGCACCAAAATGAAGTCAATAATTCCCTTTGACTGACGTATCCAAAAGTCGATGCAAGAGCGAGACAAGAGATCTTCACGTTTACATCTGCATTTAATTATCTTTACAATCAGATACAGAATATTCAACAAAAAAAGTGCTCCTAAACTAATATGTCCCTCTCCTGGCCCTCGGCTGACTGACTGCCAATCTCCTCCCAGCAGTTTTATCAAGGGTCCGATGACGTCCCACAGTCTGGGACTGGTCTGGCCCCTGGTCCTGGTCTGGACCCGGTCTTTCCATCTCCACCTGAGCAAACAATGCCCCCACCACTGGGCGCCTGATTGTGTTGGAACTTTTTGCCCTCGTCGAGAGTGGGAGAGAGCATTTGTTTATTCTTGGAGTCAATAATTGTCTGGTTTTGTAAGCTGGTCATCTCTATGATTCCTGAGTGCATATTCCTTTGTCTGATGTGCAGCATTTTGTGAATATTCGTCACTATCAAACTGTTTTCTCTGTTTATCACAGTTTAAAAAGTTCAAAAATATTTAATTTACAATCAACATGTTTACATTTAAGAGGATGCTCATAAATTGTGTTTTTGAAGCAAATATGGGTCTTAATCGCGCTCAACCACTGCTTGTAAGTGAGGAAAGCCTCAAGGGGGCGCTTGTGAGCCCAAACTTTGGCTGCATCCAATTCCATCAGAAAGCTCCTTTCTTGTTCTTCTTCTGCTAAGGGCAGCAACAGGTTTGGCTAACATACCTATAATACATTTTAAGATAAATTTAAAATGCACTTAGAGTAATGTTTTTTGCTTCCAATGATGATATGAATCATAAGAAAAAGAGGTGAAGGGTAAGGTTGAATTTAGAAATTGGATTTACCGGGAGTCGGCAGCAGCAAAACTCGCAGTTTACGGAGGAGACACCCGTTTTTTTTTACTTTTTAAAACTCATTGAACTTATTTCCAAATGGAGGATTACATGTCTGTGCTCAAACTATTATCTGGACTTAAACATGAAACTGGTCCTAACTGAAGTGGTCTGTGCTGTTTCATTAAACACCTAAGGTATAAGGCCCATAACACACTTTGTACTTTTTACAAAACGTTTGCGTTTTGTATGAGAAAACAATGCAGACATTAAATATATTCTGCTGTAGCCAAAACAAATTGTGTATAAGCCGCTCCTGTTCCTGTAGGTCCTGTTGGTTTATATGATGTATAATCATATGAACACATGATTGATCCCCCACCGCACGTCACTGGTGTAGCCAGGTCTCTAATCTGCGCAAGGCTGAGAAAGAGCGCTCAGAGGCTGCGACAGATATTAGCCAGACAGAGCTTCATAAGCACCTCCGACAGCATGGAGCGGGTTTTGGGCTGCAAGGAACGCAGGATAGTGATAACTTCTCGCTCCCGGCACACGCGGAGGGGGTGCGGCCGGCCCCTTTCACCCCCAGCACCCCTAGTTCCGACGTCTATGCCTCAGAGCCCCAGCAGGAGGCAGTCCCTGTGCTCCTCAGAGTCCCAGCAGGAGGCCAGTCCCTGTGCTCCTCAGAGCCCCAGCAGGAGGCCAGTCCCTGTGCTCCTCAGAGTCCCAGCAGGAGGCCAGTCCCTGTGCTCCTCAGAGTCCCAGCAGGAGTCCAGTCCCTGTGCTCCTCAGAGTCCCAGCTGGAGGCCAGTCCCTGTGCTCCTCAGAGTCCCAGCAGGAGTCCAGTCCCTGTGCTCCTCAGAGTCCCAGCAGGAGTCCAGTCCCTGTGCTCCTCAGAGTCCCAGCAGGAGTCCAGTCCCTGTGCTCCTCAGAGTCCCAGCAGGAGACCAGTCCCTGTGCTCCTCAGAGTCCCAGCAGGAGTCCAGTCCCTGTGCTCTGTGCTATAAGGACATTTAAGAACAAACATCTGGAGATATCCACGACGTTCACATGAGAAGTGTACGAAATATAAAAACAGAGATTATTAAACACATCTGCCACTCATCATTTCCACTCTGCCACTTCCCAAATGAAGAGGGCAAAGGTCATCCCAATATTCAAAACAGGAAATAAACATTGCTTCAATAATTATCTGCCACAGTTTTCCAAAATACTGGAAAAATGTTTAGACATAAGACTGGTTTCATTCAGAAGGGCCTGTTACTAATGCAAACTATCAACATCCCTGGCTCTCATGGTCCTAATCGAGGACATTACAAACGGTTCTGAAAAAATAAATTGTACCAGGAATATTCATTGATCTTCAAAAAGATTTTGACACAATCGACCGTCACATTCTAATACCAGACCAGAGACCAGAGAGAGACCAGAGAGAGACCAGAGAGAGAGACCAGAGAAAGACCAGAGAGAGAGACCAGAGAGAGACCAGAGAGACCAGAGAGAGAGACCAGAGAGAGACCAGAGAGAGAGACCAGAGAAAGACCAGAGAGAGAGACCAGAGAGAGACCAGAGAGAGAGACCAGAGAGAGACCAGAGAAAGACCAGAGAGAGAGACCAGAGAGAGACCAGAGAGAGAGACCAGAGAAAGACCAGAGAGAGAGACCAGAGAGAGACCAGAGAGAGAGACCAGAGAGAGACCAGAGAGAGACCAGAGAGAGACCTTTTGGTAGCAAGGGTAGGGGAAGATCCAAGATGGCTGCCACTGCCTGTCTCTGCCTAAAGGCCTGATACAATCCATCAAATATCACCAAATTATGGTTACATCCGATAAGAATCAAGGTATTCAAGTTTGAGCTTTGTATGTCTGCTTTTGTTTTTGTGGATATTGTCAAGAACAGCTTTTGAATTACAAAAAAAGCAACAGTGACATTTCATCATTATCAAACAACTGGATCAACATGTCCTCTGCCAAACTACTAGGCAGTGAAATGGCAGAGATTAAAGAGTCCCTAAACTTCATGGCAAGGGATATCAGTGAAGTGGCTAAACAACAGAAAGAATTGTCCGGCCTCATGGAAGAGATTCGGGAGCTAAAGTCTATCATTAAACAGAAAGAACAAAGGATTGAGTTCCTGGAACAGAGGGTGGATGATTTGGAGCAGTACTCCAGAGCAGAAGACCAGGCATAAGACCTATGCCCGGGCTGCAGGTCCAACTGGTCACCAACAGCATGAGACCTTTGCCCGGGCTGCAGGTCCAACTGGTCACCAACAGCATGAGACCTATGCCCGGGCTGCAGGTCCAACTGGTCACCAACAGCATGAGACCTATGCCCGGGCTGCAGGTCCAACTGGTCACCAACAGCATGAGACCTATGCCCGGGCTGCAGGTCCAACTGGTCACCAACAGCATGAGACCTATGCCCGGGCTGCAGGTCCAACTGGTCACCAACAGCATGAGACCTATGCCCGGGCTGCAGGTCCAACTGGTCACCAACAGCATGAGACCTATGCCCGGGCTGCAGGTCCAACTGGTCACCAACAGCATGAGACCTATGCCCGGGCTGCAGGTCCAACTGGTCACCAACAGCATGAGACCTATGCCCGGGCTGCAGGTCCAACTGGTCACCAACAGCATGAGACCTATGCCCGGGCTGCAGGTCCAACTGGTCACCAACAGCATGAGACCTATGCCCGGGCTGCAGGTCCAACTGGTCACCAACAGCATGAGACCTTTGCCCGGGCTGCAGGTCCAACTGGTCACCAACAGCATGAGACCTATGCCCGGGCTGCAGGTCCAACTGGTCACCAACAGCATGAGACCTATGCCCGGGCTGCAGGTCCAACTGGTCACCAACAGCATAAGACCTATGCCCGGGCTGCAGGTCCAACTGGTCACCAACAGCATGAGACCTATGCCCGGGCTGCAGGTCCAACTGGTCACCAACAGCATGAGACCTTTGCCCGGGCTGCAGGTCCAACTGGTCACCAACAGCATGAGACCTATGCCCGGGCTGCAGGTCCAACTGGTCACCAACAGCATGAGACCTATGCCCGGGCTGCAGGTCCAACTGGTCACCAACAGCATGAGACCTATGCCCGGGCTGCAGGTCCAACTGGTCACCAACAGCATGAGACCTATGCCCGGGCTGCAGGTCCAACTGGTCACCAACAGCATGAGACCTATGCCCGGGCTGCAGGTCCAACTGGTCACCAACAGCATGAGACCTTTGCCCGGGCTGCAGGTCCAACTGGTCACCAACAGCATGAGACCTATGCCCGGGCTGCAGGTCCAACTGGTCACCAACAGCATGAGACCTATGCCCGGGCTGCAGGTCCAACTGGTCACCAACAGCATAAGACCTATGCCCGGGCTGCAGGTCCAACTGGTCACCAACAGCATGAGACCTATGCCCGGGCTGCAGGTCCAACTGGTCACCAACAGCATGAGACCTTTGCCCGGGCTGCAGGTCCAACTGGTCACCAACAGCATGAGACCTTTGCCCGGGCTGCAGGTCCAACTGGTCACCAACAGCATGAGACCTATGCCCGGGCTGCAGGTCCAACTGGTCACCAACAGCATGAGACCTATGCCCGGGCTGCAGGTCCAACTGGTCACCAACAGCATGAGACCTATGCCCGGGCTGCAGGTCCAACTGGTCACCAACAGCATGAGACCTTTGCCCGGGCTGCAGGTCCAACTGGTCACCAACAGCATGAGACCTATGCCCGGGCTGCAGGTCCAACTGGTCACCAACAGCATGAGACCTATGCCCGGGCTGCAGGTCCAACTGGTCACCAACAGCATGAGACCTATGCCCGGGCTGCAGGTCCAACTGGTCACCAACAGCATGAGACCTATGCCCGGGCTGCAGGTCCAACTGGTCACCAACAGCATGAGACCTATGCCCGGGCTGCAGGTCCAACTGGTCACCAACAGCATGAGACCTTTGCCCGGGCTGCAGGTCCAACTGGTCACCAACAGCATGAGACCTTTGCCCGGGCTGCAGGTCCAACTGGTCACCAACAGCATGAGACCTATGCCCGGGCTGCAGGTCCAACTGGTCACCAACAGCATGAGACCTATGCCCGGGCTGCAGGTCCAACTGGTCACCAACAGCATGAGACCTATGCCCGGGCTGCAGGTCCAACTGGTCACCAACAGCATGAGACCTATGCCCGGGCTGCAGGTCCAACTGGTCACCAACAGCATGAGACCTATGCCCGGGCTGCAGGTCCAACTGGTCACCAACAGCATGAGACCTATGCCCGGGCTGCAGGTCCAACTGGTCACCAACAGCATGAGACCTTTGCCCGGGCTGCAGGTCCAACTGGTCACCAACAGCATGAGACCTATGCCCGGGCTGCAGGTCCAACTGGTCAAAAAAAAACCTTGGAACAGCAGGTGATTACATTCATGCCAAACAAAGATATTAACTTGGAGAGTCAACACATTTCAGTACGTCACACTCTTCCAAACAAGGATAAAAAGAAAAAGCCTGCAATCATTGTCAGATTTGTGAACCGGAAGCACAAGGTGGACATTCTAAAGGAAGCAAAGAAACTTAAAGGCAGTGGAATTTACATAAATGAGCACTTGACCAAAAGAAATGCAGAAATAGCCTGGACAAGCCGAATGCTGAAGAAGCAAAATAAAATTCAAGCCACCTGGACGAGAAATGGAAAGGTATTCATTCGACTCAATGGTCCACCTGAACACGCTAAAGTGACTGTGGTCAGGAAACTGCAAGAACTGGACCAGTACAAATGAACAAGAAATGTGTTCCTTTGGGCAAAGAATAAAGAGCAAGACAGTCAATGGATTATAAACTACACTACAAATGACTGATTCTGACTGATTCTGACTGATTCTGACTGATTCTGACTGATTCTTTTATTTATTTTTTATTTAACCTTTATTTAACCAGGAAAGTCCCATTGAGATTAAAAACCTCTTTTTCAAGGGAGTCCTGGCCAAGAGGCAGCAAAATATACAGTTTAAGAATTACATACACATTACATACTCATTATAAAAAACATTTACAGGAGGTTGACTCAAGTGCTCTCACTTTGGACTTAAATTCGTTCAATGGAATAAGATCAGTTATTTTCCAGTCTTTTTGCAACGTGTTCCATGTAGAAGGAGCAGAGTGAACAAATGCCCTTTTTCCCAGTTCTGAACGGGCAAATGGAACAGTGAGCAACAAATGATCATTTGAACGCAAACTATAAGAGCCAACGCTCCTCCGTGAGATTAGGTTACAGATGTAAGAGGGCAGTAGACCAAGCATGGCTTTATAAATAAAAGTATACCAATGACTCTGCCTCCTGGAGGACAAAGAAGGCCATCCCACTCGAGAATACAGCTCACAATGATGGGTCAAGGCCCTACAGTTAGTAATGAACCTCAGAGAAGCATGATATACAGTGTCAATCTTGTGTAGACATTGAGCAGACGCGTTCATGTACAGCAGGTCTCCATAGTCTAAAATAGATACAAATGTTGCAGTGACAAGCCGCTTTTTTGCTTTAAAAGAAAAACAAAATTTATTTCGAAAGAAAAAGCCCAATTTGAGTTTAAGTTTTTTCACAAGATTGTCTATGTGGGGCTTGAAATTCAGGGAGTCATCAAGCAATATACCTAGGTATTTGTAAGTGTGAACCACCTCTATGACTTTTCCTTCAAAAGTGGACACTGAGGGGATCGTTTGAGAAACCTTCTTAGTATTTGAAAACAACATTAGTTTAGTCTTTTCAGCATTGAGGACCAGTTTTAGCTGCAGAAGTGTGTGCTGGACCACATCAAAAGCTTTCTGCAGAGATTCTACAGCTTTAACAGGGTTAATTCCAAAACAGTAAATTATTGTGTCATCAGCGTAAAAATGCATATTAGCGTCAGACACATTTTGTCCCAATTCATTAATATACATGATGAACAGAAGGGGTCCTAATATTGAACCCTGTGGCACCCCCTTGTGGACATTAAAAAATTCAGAACACAGGCCCTCACATTTAATACACTGGGTCCTGTGACTCAGATAATTTGCGAACCAGGAAACAACATGATTAGACAGTCCCAAACAAAGAAGCCTATGCTTTAAAATAGCATGATCCACAGTGTCAAAAGCCTTTGACACATCAATAAAAAGGGAAGCACAGTATTGCTTTTTATCAAGAGCAACAAGTATGTCATTTATCACTTTTGTAGCAGCTGTGATGGTACTGTGCTTTTTCCTGAAGCCGGATTGCAGTTTAGAGATAAGTTCATTAGAGTGCAGGAACTCTTTGAGTTGATCACAAACAAGAGATTCAAGAACTTTTGACAATACACACAAATTTGATATTGGCCTGTAGTTACTTAAAACAGCTGGGTCACCTCCTTTTAGTAAAGGGGTAACAAAAGCAGACTTCCAAACAAGTGGGATTTCTTTGCTTTGAATTGAAAGATTAAAAAGGACCGTAAGAGGCTGTGCTACATATTCAGCTGCTATTTTCAAGAAGTAGGGCTCTATCAAGTCTGGTCCGGGGGGTTTTCTGTGGTCTAGTGCTTTGAGAGCTTTTTCTGACTGATTCTGAGTGATTCTGACTGATTCTGAGTGATTCTGAGTGATGAGTGAATCTTTTTCAAATGTTGATTTCACAGAACATGGCATATATGATTTTGATAAAGATGTGGACCCAGAATCTAATTTGTTTAAGGACTCTTGTATATATTACACAGAAGAACAACTGGTGAAGTACAAACCGAGGAAGCATTTTCTTTCATTCATTTTAATTGTAGAAGTTTACCAAAGAACTTTACAAAAATTGAGCACTTTTTGGACATATTTAAGGTAAATTTAAGTGGATTGCCCTTTCAGAGACCTGGATCAACAAAGAGAAGGTTGATTTGAAAATGAAAGGCTATGATTTAACAACAGCAGAACAACTGCAGTTGGAGCAGCTCTCTACATTGACAAAGATCTAAAATGTAAGACTCGTGTTGTTGATGACTTGTTGAAAGTATTGCTGTAGAAATAGAACTAGAAAAAAGCAGAAACATTATTGTTGCATGTGTGTACAAGAAACCAGGATCCAAAATTGAAACTTTCAAGGACATTCTTGAAGACATGATAAGTAATTTAAACTACAATAAAACTGTGGTAATATGTGGAGATTTCAATATTGATCTGTTAGACAGTAACACAAATTCACAAACTTCAGATTTCCTCGACACATTATATATTATATTATATATATTATATGGTAAAGGACTTTATCCAATGATCACAAAGCCTGATCCATAATATATTTACTAATTGTTTAGAAAACTACCCAAACTGTGGCTTAGTAATTAATGATATGAGCGACCATTTTCCTATTCTTGCAATATTTAACCATAGATTGCCAAACAAGTCAATTATATTTCAACAAGTGTATAAAAGAAAAGTGAATGATGAGGTGGTCAGAAATGATACGAGTCATTTTTAAAACGTTTCTTACATCTCTACAATAAACATTGTCCAGAGGTTCCATGTAGAGTTAGACGTAATGATAACAAAAAACCTTGGATTACAAATGGTTTACATAATGCGTGCAAAAAGAAAAATAAACTGTACAAGATCTACATAAAAACCAGAACAGAAATGGCTGAAAAGCTACAAAAATAAGTTGACAACCATGATATTGAGGAATGCCAAAAAGGAATACTACTCTAGAATTCTTTATGAAAACAAACATAACATCAGGGCAACTTGGAACATTCTGAGCAAAGTAATAGGAAAAAGGAAGGAATCCACAGAAATCCCATTATACTTTACAAAAGATAAAAAAGTCATTGAAAATCAGGAGGAAATTGTGAATGAACTTAACTCCTTTGTTGTAAATATAGTATAGTATATAGACCTAGTTTAGCTGATAAAACATTTAAAGGTGTCTGTAATGGAGGAAAAGATCATCTACAGTCAATGTATCTGTCTGATGTTACAGAAAACAAAATATTAACTGTTCATAAACTTCAAAGGACATGGTTTTGACATGAGACTGATAAAGATGACTGTAGATTGGGTTAGGGTTAGGGTATAAAGATAAAGATAAAGATAAAGATAAAGATGACTGTAGATTGTTTTCTCAAACCATTGCATTATATTTTTAATTTATCCTTTAAAATGGGAATATTTCCAGAGCAAATGAAACTGGCTAAAGTCATTCCTCTTTTTAAAGATGGAGATAGACATGACTTTAATAACTAAAGGCCAGTGTCATTGCTTTCTCAATTTTCAAAATTATTAGAAGAAATATTTGTAAATAAACTGGACAGTTTTATAGAAACTAATAAATTACTTAATGAGAATCAGTATGGTTTTAGGTCCAATCGGTCGACAAATTTGGCTTTAACAAAAATTGTAGAAGAAATATCAACAGCAGTTGATAAAAAGAAATATACTATAGGAGTGTTTATTGATTTGAAAAAGGCATTTGACACTATAGATCATTCTATTCTAATATCTAAATTATATTCATATGGAATCAGAGGAGTGGAGTCAAGTGTGGAGTTCCTCAAGGTTCGATTATAGGACCTAAACTTTTATTTTATATATAAATGACATTTGTGAAGTGTCAAAGTTATTACAGTTTGTGTTGTTTGCAGATGACACCAACTTTTTCATTTCTGGAAATGATCTAAAAGACCTGGCTTAAAATATTGGAAATGAAATGGTAAAACTGAAAACTTGGTTTGATGACAACAAATGATCTTTAAATATAGCAAAAACAAAGTTTATGGTGTTTGGTAAAAAAAGAAAAACTGAAGTCACTCTATCTATTAACAGCACAATTATTGAAAGAGTGAATGAAGTAAAGTTCCTTGGTGTAGTGTTGGAAACCACATATAATGTACGTGAAAAATAAAGTATCAAAAAGCGTATTTATTTTGAACAAATCTAAATACATGTTACCCGTCCACATGTTGTGAATGTTATATTGTTCTATTTTACTTACTGTGTAGAACACAAGCTGTCCGTATAATACACAGAGCTGCATTTCCAGAACATACAAACTATTCATTAGGTCCAAATTGTTGAAATTTAAAAATATAATAGAATTACAGACATTATTAGTCATGTTTAAAGCTAGAAATGCAGCACTACCAGAAAATATACAGTCACTGTTTACTGTTACGTCTCCAGGAGAAGGTTTGACTTTAAACACCAGTTTACGAACAACATTAAAACAAATGTGTCAAACTGTGGAATGCTCAGGAAAATGAATCAAAACATTGTCAAAATATCTCTCAATTTAAAAAGTTGTATATAGTAAAAATGATTGAATCGTATGAAGCTCTTGAGTAATTGGATGTATTTGTTTAAATGCAAATTTGTTGAAAATGCATTTGCATCAAAACATTTGTAAATGTTTTTTGTTTAAACAT